AGGGACAGGAAAGCTGGTAATGGGGAACCCAAGGTCAAGAAGGGGAGGGTGTTGACATGTTGTGGGGTTGGCAACCAATGTCACAAAACAATATGTGTATTAATCATTTAATGAGAAACTAGTTTGCTATGTAAACCTTCATCTAAAGTACAATTTAAAAAAAAAGTTACCTGCTCTCATACACCTCAAACAAGATACAAAAATGGACATATCTGTTTATAATTCAACTACTTATAACTGAATCGTGTATTTCCAACAGTTTAGCACACAATAGGTGTTTCTTATATGCTTATATAAATTAATGTCCAGAAAAATGACTTTCAGGGACTATAAGTTCTTGGAGTATCATTTTTGTCTAGGAAAATAAATGATGTTCATAGTTTTAATATTAAGCATATTTTATTATATGCTAATTTTTAAATTCATAACCCAATTATAGTATATATCAAGTGTTAGAAAACTTCTTATATACTATATATGAAGCCTGCCACCTGTTTTTGTTTGGACCACAAGCTTAGAATGATTTGTACATTTTCAAACTGTTAAAGAGAAAAAATCAAAAGAATACTTCGTGACGTGAAAATTACATAAAATTCAAATTTCAGTGTTCAAATAAAATTTTATGGGGACACAGCCACACTCATTTTTTTATGTATTGTCTATGGCTGCTTTTGCACTACAATGACAGAGTTGAGAAGAGACCTTATGAGCTACAAAGCCTAATATATTTACAGAAAAAGTGTGCTGATTCCTGGTATATATGATAAACTTTCATTCATCAAAATGCATAGTTAATTAAGATATCCCAATTACGACAAATATCAGGATTAAACCTTTAATAAATACTTTTATAATGTGACTATTCAAGTACTAATTTCTTCTTGTTTGGGTTTTCAAAATTTAGAAATTAGGTTTTTTTAAAATAAGGTACTGTACACTTATAATATCAATTAAGCTAGCCTGACAGTTCTCAAACTTTAGTATAATCACCTGGGCACCTTCTAAAACTAGATTTCTGGGCCTCGTGGATTAGCATTTGCTTGGCATTGGGCCCAGGAATCTACACTTTAAAAAGCTCCCTGGGTAATTTTAATGCCCATGATCAGTGGGCCACCCTTTGAGACCACTAAGATAGCTGGAGAGTTTATATTCCTTCCATATGGAAAACAACTATATTTTTCAAGTTTGGTACTGTAAGACAGCAGTTTTCAAAGTGGGCTCTGGGAATACCTAGAAATGCCTAAGACCCCTTCATAGGGCTCAATGGGGTCAAAATCGTACATGGGTAAAAGATCTACTCAAAGGGCTAGATAGACCAGTGTAACAGAGTATTCAAGGTACACGAATGTAGTTTCAGGCTCCACACAACACTTAAGCCTTAAGAAACTATCACTTTTCAGATACTGGGGTAGTATCAAAGAAGACTATTCCAGATTATCTGATAAAACTATTAAAATATGCCTTCCTTTTCATATTACATATCTTTGCAAGGTCAAGTTTCTTCATATACTTCAACCAAAACAACATATTGCAACAGACTGAATGCAGAAGCAGATATGAGACTACAGCTGCTTTTTATTAAGCCGTTAAAGACATTTGCAGCTTTTCTCCCTGAATTATTTTTATTTTGGAAAATAGTTATTTTCTATTTAAAAATATGCTATTTATGTTTACATGTAATGGATTTACTGTTATTTTAAAATAGATTAATACATATTTTAAAATTTTTCTGCATTTTTATTTCTAATATTCTAAATTTCAACAGACATAACCCACATAAACAAAAAGATCTCTAGAGTTCTTAATAATTTTTTTTCAGTAATTTTTAAGACTATAAAGGGGCGGGTACTGAGACCAAAAAGTTTGAGATCACTGCTTTAAGAAATACGCAAATAGTAGAGTATCGTGGATTAATCGAAGAGAAGATTGAAATTAATTTCTATATTTCAAGCTCAGACATGAAGGTCTAAGTTTCAAAGAAAGAAGCCAGCTTACACAGACCAAATAGTTTTGTAGGAAAGGATTGAAAACAGATTTGTAGGAAGGGAAGAATTAGGCTGAATCATAAATTAGGCAACACATGATAAAAGCTTAGAACCTACCTGGAAGCAGCTTCCTATAGGCAACTACCTAACTAGAACATTTTTAGTTCTAGTTAGGCTCTCTAAGCTCTGGAGGAGCACTGGTGGCTCAGTGGTTAAGACTTCAGGCAGTGTGAACCCACCAGCCGCTCCTTGTAAACCCTACAGGGCAGTTCTACTCTGTCCTATAAGGTCGCTATGATTTGAAATCAATTCAACAGCAACAGGTTTTGCGTTAAGCTTTTGGAGGAGCCCTGGGGACACAGTGGTTAAGAGATTGGCTGTTAACCAAAAGGTCGGCAGTTCAAATCCACTAGCCACTCCTTGGAAACCATATGGGGCAGTTCTATCCTGTTCTATACGGTTGCTATGAGTTGGAATCAACTTGATGGCAATGGATTTAGATTTTTTGGTTTCAGGCTTCTGGAGAATCCAAAATCTATTTTGAACTACTCCCAGGAAGGTTAATAAAGCAAGAGTAAAGAAGCAACAACTTGCTACAGTGACAGCAGGAATCAAAGTTAGAAATAACTAGAGAACATTATACCTATCTATGTTTGGCCTCAATAGACATTTTGGAAGCACAAAAATTCCGGGAAACTGATAGGCTATCAAACAAAAATCTAGTGTTGCTGTTTTTTTTCCTGCTCATTTTCAGATAAATTATGATTCATAAAATAATAAACCAGTAGCAATCCATCCCCAAACACTGATCTTTAACGATCAATCTAAAATCTTCAGGAACTTAACAGTCTGCAAACAACAACAATAAACCTGCTGGACTTTATTATTAAACTCCAGTATGAATTTGGTCCTGTGTAGGAAATAGCTGCCATATCCCACAATGACAATCATGGAGTCACTTAGAAGTTGTCAAGGAAAAAAAAAGGTCTATTTTCTAAGTCTGCCCACATATTAGCAACACAGTGATCTATTTCAGTATTCCAACATTCACCCTCACCAGTCCCAAACATAGATGTGTAAAATATTTGGAAACTACTGTTTGGCCAAAACTTAAATAAATAAGTTAAAGAAAATGATGCTGCAGGAGACATACTGGTACCAGAAATTCCACGTTAAATAAAACCAACATGTTATTCAAGTTTGATAAAGCTTAAATAAATTAAATTGGCAAGAAACTTGGTGCCAACACAAATCATTTACAGCAATCATGTTTTATTCAATAAATCATCCTTACTTTATAATATAGTCAGGCATATGTTTCAGAAAGAATGGCTGTGCCCTACTTTGAAAAATGTAGTCATGTGTCACTTAACGTCCACGATACATCCTGTGAAATAGGATGTTATGTGATTTGGATGTTGTGCAAACATCATATTATATACTTATATGGGATACCTATTGTTTCACTTCCGAACAGATACTTCTCCTTTGCCTCTTGCTGCTGCTATCAATCACTAGCATTGGTTTTGGTGCATTTGATAGCCATGATGCACTTCACGGCAATATTTTTTAAAGAAAATTAAACAAAAAGATAACACTACAACACTCAAGAGATGCATGATACTTGAGATTGGATGCTGCTGCCTATGAGTCCGAGCATACACTATTATAATGTAAACTTTTTATTTGTAAGCAAAGTTTACATTAAAATAATGATTAAAATAATGACAAAAAGTACAGTACAATACATAAGCCAGTAACACAGTAATTTATTATGACTATCAAGATACATGTATTGTAGGTTATATATGTACTGTAGCATTATATGCCTGGCAGCACAATTGTTTTGTATACAAGAGACATAAGATACACATGTTGCACACGAGAAGCTGTGTTCCCTAGGATATCTGCTACATCCTGTTCTCCGATAGGGATTTCTGAACTCTATTATAACCTTATGGGACCACAGACATATATGCAGTCAGGTGCTGCCCAAACAGATGTTGTGTGGTGCATGTCTGTAATTTTTCTATTGCATGACAAATTTTAAGTCCCAAATAAAATCGATCAGTTTAGCACATAAATCTCCCAAGTCCACTAAGTCAAAAAGAAGCACTCTGCCAGATAAGGAGATATGAGAGGTGGTTCCATTCAAAGAAAGCAAGTTGGGTTTTGTGAGAAGATAGAGCTATGGGGCTACAGCAGAACAACACTGCTCCCACAGAGGCCCAAGCCGCAAGCTCACTAGGTGACTTTTTTATCGTACGTTTTGGCTCCAGTTAGACTTCCATCAACTGATATTGATTAAGAAGAAACAGAATATTGAATAGAAAAGAGAAACTTTTTATACCATCAGTCTGGTTTAAAATGTATGAGAATATTTAAGATTAAAATTACCAAAAGACAAAAGAAAGCTAACAATGTGAAGTTGTGGGTTTGTTTTGTTCTGATAAACTCTGAAGTGTTCTATATTCTTCATAAGACTACTAACTCAGCTTTGGTTTAATTGGGAATCTTTCCTAGATGTCTGCCTACAAAGTTTTAAAAGCCAGATAGCAAGTTCACCTTTTCATACAACCTTTCCTAAATTTTAACACTCACCTTTCCTCTCCAAGGAAGCTACACAGCATATGTTTACTTTTAAAACTGAACAGAATTTTGCTTCACTATATAAAGGCAGTGAGTACATTATTCAAAAGGGGGAAAAAGTTTTTAAACAAAAGGACAAACAAGAGAAGGAAAGGAAACAAAATACTATGATTTAACAGAAAAAAAAAAAAAACAATAACATTCTTTCAACACAAAGTGTCCACTGGGGAAATGCTAGAGAGAGAATGTCATGATAAAATATATTTTAAGGCATGAAATGACCCCAATGCAAAATATTTGTTGTTGCTGTTTTTTTTTTTATTTTTAGCTCAAAGGAGTTGTTATTTCTCAACATTTATGCTCCTTATTTTTTGTTTATCCATTCCCACTGGGTCAGTAGAACCATTTCAATTTCATTTTCCTTACAGTCTATTTTTCTTCCCGATTCTTCAATACTAAGTTCCTTGATCTGAGCTTCTGTTTATGAATTTTTGGACTGGAAAGGACCTTGAGGGGTCATCAAGTCCATCCTTCTGCTTTCCAGGAGAATTCATAGCTAAATAATTTCTGAAAGATGACAAAGTATCAAAAGAAAATGCATCCTGTCAATGACTAATAACATGCTACTTTAATCCACACAAACATTTCCATTCACAATTTGCAATTTCTGAAAAACTGAAAGTAAAAATTAAAACCCCAAAAGAGGAAGGAGTTTTAAAAATGCATTTATCAGCTAAAATTGCTCAAACATAAATTCAACTGTCAGGTCTAGAATTAACATGTAGGAAAGTTCTTGGCTGCCAACACAAAGTCTTTAGTCCCTAGAGATGTCTTCTGATGTTCCATCTTGTTTGTAGTACCATTTCACCTACAGCACACAGCCTGGCAACTTAGACCACCACACCAATAAACTATAATTATGAACGACAAATATATATATTTAATATATATTATAAATGACAAATATATTTTAATATATATTTAAAATAACATACACATATATGTTTACAGCGGGCATAAGTTTTTACAAAAATGAAAAGTTATGTCTAAATTGGAGATGTCAGTATAGTTTAATTCTTTAATTTGTAACCTAAAATGTTCAAAGAATGACACTTCCTCCTAAAAATTTCCAAAATAGAATTCATCTGATGACAGAAAACATGCAACTAGAAAGAAATACTTAGTTTTTCTATAATTATAAAAAAAGAAAAAGAAAGCGAGATCAAAAGTCTTAGAAATAGGGCAAAAAATCACTGTTTTATTTATTTTTATTTTTATTTTGTGCTTTAAGTGAAAGTTTACAGTTCAAGTAAGTTTCTCATAGAAAAATTTATATACACATTGCTACCTGCTCTCCCTATAATGTGACAGCAAACTCTTCCTTTCTACCCTGGATTTCCTATGTCCATTCAAACAGCTCCTGTCCCTAAAAAATCACTATTTTAAAAAATGAGGGAGAGGGAGGTAGATTCCAGAAATTACAGATAGGTAAAATAGATATTGTTTTCCAGAATGATTCTAAAATGAATTATTAATAGATGGTTTATGAAAAATTGGCCAGTAATACAGATATCTCTAAACACTAGCATAAAATAACTAAAAGCAACTAATGTCTAACTTCATTGTTTTGACAGGGTCACTAGCCTGGGAGCTCAAGGATATGTGAGCAACAGAAGATATCTGGATTTTAACAGGACACCTCACAAAGTCACTCTTGATACTTCATAAAAAATATAGGTTAGATGATAAAAGAGCAAGTGAATAACTGAACTGTACCCCAAAGGGTGAGTAACAGACTAATGTCAACCTAATGATAGTCTGGGTGTCCTGGATGGTGCAAACAGTTAAAACGCTTGGCTGCTAACAGAAAGGTTGGTGGTTCAAGTCCACCCAAAAGTGCCTTGAAGACAAACCTGGTGATCTACTTCTGAAAAAGCAGCTATTGAAAACCCTATGGAGCACACATGGGGTTGCCATGAGTCAGGATCAGCTCGACTATAACTGGTTTGGTTTTGGTTTAATGATTGTCTACTCATGTTGTATAGCATTGTTTCACCCATATTCATCTTTGCCAGTCAACTAAAATAAAAACATAGGTGTAATATTTATTAAATTTATCAATGATACAAAGATATGAAGAATGGCCAAGAGTCTGAATTATCAAGCTAAAATAGTAAGCCAAAACTAACAAGATGACAATTACAGGGATAAATGCAAAGTCCTCAATTACGTTAAAAGAAATCAACTGCACAAATTAATGTGATCTTAGATTTTAAGAATAGAGGTATACCAAAAAACAAACAAACCTGTTGCTGTCGAGTCAGTTCTGACTCATAGTGACCCTAAAGGACAGAGCAGAACTGCCCCACTGGGTTTCCAAGGAGCAGCCGGTAGATTCAAACTGCTAACTTTGCGGTTAGCTGCTGTAGTTCTTAACCACTGTGCCACTGGGGCTCCAACAGAGGTACAGTCCAGTAAAAAAGAAGCTGTATTCTCCCCTGTACTGTGTATTGATCTGAGATGTTATACTCAGATCTAGACAAGAAACCCTGAAAACGCAGGCAACTAAGTTGACGAGGAGCATGAAATTTATTAAAAATGTCATTTAAAGTGGCTGAAAAAAACTTGGAATATTTACCTCAGAAAGAAAAGCCTTACCAGGGCTTAACTGTCATCAAATATTTGAAGGGCCATCATGCTGACAAGGAATTAGGTTTATTATTATGATATATAAAAACTTACACCAACTGTAAATATTTGTGTATATTACATTTATTATCAGATGGCAGAATTGATGAGCTTCAGCACAATATAAAGGATGTTCTAAAAGTAGAACTCCAATAATGGAGCAGGATAACTGTGAAGTGGGGACCTCTTTCTTACAGCATTTAGAAGTTAAAAAGACCACCTATCAGGGACTCCAAATATGATACATTTTCACACTTCATGAATATACTTGATCCCAAAAGAAGACTTAATTAGTCTGTTAGGGAAAGGCAACATTTAAAAATGGGTACATGTCAGAGAAGCTTAAAAAATGTTTTCTTTGACATGTTTCTAAAGAGATAGAAGACTTTTTCATGAACTCTAAAATCACAGTACCATTTTCGGAGAAACTACCAACAAAAGAAATTAAAGTTTCTTTTTTAATGAATGCTGCATTTGTTTTTCTCAATGAAATATGTTTGCACCTTAACTTGAGGACCTTTATCAAAGGATAAGGGGCAATTATATGCCAGTCTGCCAACTAGTCTCAAGAAGAGAGCTGTCTTTACTAGACATTTACATGGCTGTACTATTTGCTCCATGTAAAATTTCCTTGCAAGGAGAAGGCTCCTCCTTATCAGATGTGGGTAGGAGGCTTCGTAACACTGACTCCCTCTCACTGCAGCCTAAGAAAAACTCAGTCTTGACATGCTCAAAACAATAACTTGTGAGAACTTCAGAGCAGCTGTGCTCAGGCAGAGCCAGGGACTTTACTCGAGGCAAAGTAGTTGCTTACAAGTTGGCTGAAAAAATAATTTTCATTCTGGGTTAAAAGTGGGGAGAGGAAAGGGAACAAGATACAGTAACTGTGGCTATTAACATTTAAAAGCCATGGTATTCACAAAGATAATGTTCTACATCCTAGTTTGGTGAATGACTCTGGGGTCTCAAAAGCCTGCCAGCAGCCATCTAAGGTACAACTAGTCATGCGTAACTTGACGTCCACAATACATTCTGTGAAATAGGACGTTATGTGATTTGGATGTTGTGTGAACACTATGCCAAATCAGGTCCTTGGAGGCCACTGTCTCACTGCCCAGGATGGCCTGGAGGGCAGGGCCCACGAAACATCAGGGCGTGGAGACCCCCACGGCCCAGGGGAGCCTGGTGCAGTCAGCACAGGTTATCCATAACCAAACCCTCTGGCTTTCCAAAAGGACCAGGAAAGTTTCCTTTTGTGTTGTGTTTGGTCCCGTTGTCCGATATATGTCCCATTCTCTGATCAGGATTTCTGAACTCTATTATAACCTTATGAGACCATGGACATATACACAATCAGACGATGCCCGAAAGGGCATTATGCAGTGCATGACTACATTGGCCTCTACCTGTATGCAGCAAAAGAGAATGAAGGAAATCAAAGGCCCAAAGAAGAAACCAGTCCACAGGACTAATAGCTCACACGAACCACAATCTCTTCTAACCTGAGACCAAAAGAACTAGATGGTGCCCAGCTACCACTATTGACCATTCTGACCAGGGAAATAATAAAAGGTCCTGGATAGAATGGGAAGAAAATGTAGGACAAAATTCAAACTCCTAAAAAAGGCAAGATCTACTGGACTGATAGAGACTAGAGGAACCCCTGAGACTACTGCCCTAAAATAACCTTTGAACTTGGAATTGAAGCTATTTCTGCAGGTCACCTTTCAGCCAAATAGTAGATTGGTTTATAAAATAAACAATATCACCCGTGAGTAATGTGCTCCCTTAAACAATTAACTATGTGAGACCAAACAGTCAACAGTTACCCAAAAGCAAAGATGAGAAGGTAAGGAGGGGAAAGGAAGCTAGATTAATGGAAACAGAACAAACAGAATGGAAATAATGGAATGCTGACACATTATAAAAATTGTAACCAATGGCATGGAACAATTGTATAAACATTGTTAAAGGGAACCTAATTTGCTGTGTAAACTTCCATCTAAAACACAATATTATTTAAATAAATAAATAAAAGCCATGGTAAACAAAGGTGCCTAAAAATCACAACACTGAAACTACCACAGGTGTAAACTTTGATCCACAAGTTAAAAGATGAGCTTTCTGCTAGGTGGTACACTAGTGAGAAAAAAAACAGTCTTGCATTTAATAATGCCCAAGTCAAAGCCATCATAAATTCTAGGACGGAAGAACAAAACAAGGACTCTGGTCTTTCACTGGATATTTTTTTTTCAGCTGCTAGGCTGTCTGAATGTCCAATAAGCAAAGTTCTTAATGTGAAATACCCAACTCAGTAATTAATGCTAAAGGGTCAGTAATTAATTGGTCTCAATGTACTATAGGGGCAACTTCCCCGCCAAGAGGAAAAGCTTGAAACGGTTTCTGAAAACCAAAGGTTTACACAGAACTACATACTCTGCCTTCTCTTTGTATAACAGGTTTACCAGTATTTCAGACACTATTTTGCTTCTCAAAAGTAACAGGAGAAGAGAAGGAATAGAAAGACAAATCTATGCAGTAGCAAACAAGTTATTAATTAATTGGCTGTAACATTTTAATTCATGATTAAATGATACACAACTATCAAAGGGCAAATGCCTGTTCCTTTTCTGTACAGAATTAAGAACGAACTGGTAAGACCACTTAGTATAGCTGCCAAACTTTTCTTTAGCTACTTTTCTTACAGACATGTTACATTTTGCAACAGCTTCCACTTACCTTACATCTTCCATGTTAAAGTACAAATTGAGTTTGATTTCCCCAACCCTTGCCCTAAGATATTATGACATATCTTTAGCTTCTGAGTCTGGACACAAATGAAGAAACTAAAAATGTTTCACTTTCCTTATTTACATATTTACACTATGTAAAAAAAAGTATTTAAGTTAAAAATAACTGTAACCATCCAATTAACAACTCTTCCAGCATGAGTGGTTAAGTCACACATTTAACAAAACAAACTCATTTTAACATTTTTTTTTTTTTTGTGCTTAGAATGCCTATAAAGATATGTCTCTCCAAGAATTATTTAGTTTACCGCAAAAATGTTAAACACAGGAATCAAATGAGTTTGCTGAGAAAACTCTGCACACCCACTAACTTACACTTAAGTGACAGGACCCCCAGAGATAGTAAAACACCCTCTGTTTAGTAAAAAACAGACTATCAAAGTTAGGAAAGTAGCAGCATGAAAATCTGGGTAGGAGGTGTCCTGGGTCATAAATACCCCAGTCAGTGAACATAACAAGCGATTCAGAGTAACATATAAGCCCCTATGGAGCTCCATCTTGGACAGCTGAAGACCCAACCCCACATCCCTGTGTTTAGGAGGAGATGAAGTGTGGAAAGAGGAAGAGAGAGAGAAAGGAAATCAGAGTAGAATGATGAAAGTATTCTATTTTTCTCCTTCTCTACCTCCATCGCTGCATTCCTGCAGGCTGGCCACCAGTCTGAGTGCCATATCCAACCAGAAGTCCTAAATCAATATCCCAGCCTTCTTCTGATACCGAGACGGCTATATCTATCAGCTGT